GTGTTTTTATCCTCCCAGACGAGCCTGGTACTAATGTCCCATACAGCTTTATTAAATGACTTCACTTAGTAGTAATTGAAGCTAATTATTTTTGTACACAATCCTTTGAAAACTATAAGAATATTCTACAAAACTTCGTTTTCTTTGCCTCTCCCTTCGAATTTTTTACGTGAATTCGATCGGTTCCCTAAAAACAGCACGAAGGAGTTGAAATTAGAATTTGTACGGAAAAGTTGTGCGGAATTTTTAAAAAGNCTCGACTTAATTTATATTTATTTGATTTATATGATTTGAGTGCCTTTGACAATCTTGCTCATCTTGCGATTCTATTAATCCCTGACCTCAAGGGTCAAGAAGTTAATGGCTCAGAATTCCTAGGTAGAAGAAGATTTTCGTCTGACAAAGATGATACTTCATGAAAGAGTTTAACAGCTGACGCCTTTATGAATCAGGCAGAACTTATCACATTCTTCACAAAAAAATGATTTTCTGCTAAAAGTATTAGTGAGCAATTTGATTGTCAGAGTATACGATAAGTTGATTGTAGACGGCCTTGAAGGACACACACAGCATTTGACTTTTTCGTTAAGGGGTTTCTGACAAGGACAAACGTTCTACTCAAAGCAGATTACTGTCAGAAAAACCTGATAAGAATTATAATTGATGCAATTAGTAAAATTAATCTTTTTTCCTTTTCTGAAGTTTTTTTTTTCCTGAAATGTCTTTTAAGATAGCCGAGTAATTATGTTCAGCTCACTAATGAGGACTCTGAATTACAAAGAAGCCTTCGCCTGTTCGTCTTATCCATTCCTTACTCCGAACTCATCTATCTGACTGTCTAATTGCGGAAGGAATCCGAGAATAAGAAGAGAACTCGAGAATTGAAAAGAAAGTCGATCATGACTTTACTTCTGAGAAACAGTGACGACCGAGTCAAGGTCGGAGAAGATCGGGGAAGACGTGGAATTGGCGAAATGAAGAACAAATTGGAAAACATGCAACTATGTATCTGCACGCAATTGAATGTTGTGATTGTAACAAATATTTCCAAAAAGCATAAACATCTTTTCCACATTTGACTGTTCTTGTTCATTATGAGATTAAAAACTACAAGAAAAACCACATGGTTGCTACGATTCCAGTCTGAAATGAACGAGCATGGCTTAGAGCGCTCCTCAAATAGACTGCAAATCCTAGTCTGATCAACGTACTGTAAAGTTGGTAGTGCTGAAGTCGAGAATGAGCACTTTTCCTGATATTAGGTTGAGTAAAAAGTTTTGATCGACCTTCGTCCCTTTTTTCGTAGGACCGCTCGGAAGGACTTCGTAATGGGTTATGGTAGACCGATCCCTAACCTGTATTTTTAAA